AAAGAGTGACAGTCTCGGAAACCTACAGGGGCAGTTCTACTCTGTCCTATAGGGTCACTAGGAGTCACAATCGACGCATGGCTGACGGAAGGAGGTATGGAGGGAGGGAGGAGATAAGTGAGTGAGTGGCACTGTGGGCTAGCATTGGACTGCTAACCTCCAGGTCCGTAGTTCAAACCCCAGCCTCCCCACTCCCAACTGCAATGTGGGAAAATGATGAGGCTTTCTGCTCTATCAGAGATTTACAGCTTCAGAAACCCTATACAGGATCGAGATGAGACAAAATTGCCTCTATAGCAGTGGTTTGTGTTTGTGTTTGTTTGTCTAGACACTGCCCTGCCCTGAGGTCGCTACGGGTCGGAACCAGCACAAATGCAGTGAGTGATCTGAGCCAGTGGCACAGCAGTTAAGCAAGCGCTCAGTGCTAATCCCAAAGACCAGCTGCTTACGGGGGCAGAAGGACGGCACCAACTGAGACCACCTGTTCTGTCCTATAGGGTAGCAACAGGACAGACAGCAAGGAGCTTTGTTTTTTGGGGAAACTGTCTTTGGGGACTTTTCGTTATTTCACAGATTCGGGCATCGGGATGCAGTGGTGAAATCGTGGTATCGAAAATCCCCAGCCCAGTGCTGTCCATAGAAATCCCACTCACAGCCGAGAGTTCCTCAGACTGTATCCTGGGTGGGGCCGGTCACCAGGTTCAGTCTCCTGTAGGTACTGGCTGGGCTCAAACTGCCGACCTTTGAGTTCACAGCCAAACACTTAACCATTGGACCATGAGGGCTCTCAGCTCATGCAAAGTCACCAGCTGGCTGGGAGCAGAGGGCCGTGGCTGGGGCTGGGGCCCAGTGTGGGGGTCACAGTGAGTGGGAGGCAGTGGGTGGGAGGTGGCACCCCTCTAAGTCAGACCTTGTCGGGCCTCAGGGGAATGAGGGAGCTTGGACTGGGTTCTCTAGGCCACAGGAAGAACCCTGAGGGTGTCGGCTGGGCCAGCGGGTGCGGGTTAAGGGAATGATGTCAGAATGGGGGTGGTCTTGAGGTGACCCCGTATTTGCAGTTCCCATCCAGAGTGAGGGAGGTCTGGGGGCTCTCTGGAACTCTGGGATTGACGGGAACTATTTGGGGGAGAGCCTTCTGCGATTTCGTCTTGGGGAAGCAGGAGGGAGTGGGTCGGGGGTCCAGCCAGAGATGAGGAGATGAGACATGAAGGCCCGTTAGCTGAACAAGCCTTGGTGACACCCGAGCTCTGGGAGACAAGACAGGAGGCAGGGGGAGGGTGGCTCCTGGGCCACCGGACTGGGTGGCTGTGGTGCTGGGGCCAAGAGAAAACGCTCACTGGGACGAGAGGACAGAGGAGCTGGCGATGGCCATCCCGGGAGGTAACCCGGATGGGACCTCGATGGACAGAGGGCTGTCACTCACCTGTGCGACGGTGCCCATGGCGGAGGGGACCTCGGGTCCTGCCATCTTGGTTGTCTTCTTCCTGTATCTCTTCACCCTGAGGGAGGAGCCCAGGACCTGCAGGTGACTGCTGGGGCTGGGCTGGGACGAGGATGCACCCCTAAGAGGCTGGCAGGCCTGGCCCCGACGTCACCTCCAGCCTGACGACCTGTGTTAGGAGAACTGGAGCCCTTCCGGGTCGGCTGGGCTCGGGAGAGGGAACTGTCCCTGCTCTGAATCACTTCCAGGTCGCATCGAGTTCATTCCAACTCACAGCGGCCCACGTGTGCAGAGCAGAGCAGAGGCAAGCTAGGCGGGTGTCCAGGCTCTGTGCCCTTGCAGAAGCAGGTCACCAGGCCTTTCTTCCGAGGCGCCTCCAAGTGGATTAGAACCACTAACTACTTGCCCATTTGCATCACCCAGGGGCTCTTAGAATCTCTGCCAGGGGCTTCATTTTCCAGGAGTTCCTGGTGGCACTGTCGAGAAATCATTGACAACCACAAGGTCGGCAGTTCAAAACCTTCAGCCACCCTGGTACAAAAGATGAAGGGGTCTGTCCCAGTAAATATGTACAGTATGTGATAGTTAAATAACTGTTTGTCAATCTGAGAGGATTAAGAGTGAAGGGGTGGAGTCTAGCCTATCAATCAGATCATAGTCAATGAGGCTCTGTGTGGGCATGGCCTTCTCCAGAGGATTCTGGGAATTCCCGTATTCCTCTTTGGAAGCAGGAGTCTCTCTCTCTCTCTCTCTCTCTCTCTCTCTGTCTGTCTCTCGGCTCACTCCCTGGGAGACATTGCAGCTGACGAGACACATGGAACTACGCTAGTGCCCTGAGCTGGAGGAGCCACGTAGAGACCCACGCCAGTGCTGAGATGCTTACAACACCACTGGATCCACAAGACTTCTCACCTACTGGCCTGTGATCCTCCTGTATTCGGCATCATTGCATGTGTTTCATGAATCTGAAGAGGACTTTATAGATCGGTATCGGAACTATGGGTTAATATAGGACTTATGGACTTGATCTGGAGTGGGCTGGGCTGTTTTCTTAATGTACAATTACTTTTTATATAAAGCTCTTTCTAATACACATGTGAGTGTCTATGAATTTGTTTCTCTAGTCAACCCGAACTCACACACAGTACTTGAAATCCCACATAGGTAACTCCATAGAGACAGTAACTGGATGGAGGGGTCCTTGGGGGTATGCCAGTGGGGGTTGGGAGGACCCGCGGAACTAATTAAGATGAGCACAAGAAGGAAGAAAATGTACTAAAACGGATGACGGTGATGGTTGTACCACACTCCCAGATGGGATTGAGCTGCAAGAATTGCACGGCAGGTTAATGATACGCCAATCAAACTGTCAAAAACAAAACCAACAAGATCGACAGCCTCAGAAGCCCTGTGAGTTGTAACTACCTCGGTGGCAGTGGGTTGGGCTTGGGTTGGGTGGCGCAAACAGTTAAGCGCTTGCCTGCGAACCCCAAGCTGCAGGTTCAAACTCACCCAAAAGGACCTGGGGTTGGGTGGGGGGAGGGGGGGGCGGGTCCTGACCATCTGCCTCCCAACCATGGCTTGCTAAGCCCCAGCCAGGAGTTGGAACCCACTGGGTGGCAACTGGTTTTCTGAACCTCAGCCGACAACCACTTGTGGCCCAGGGCCCTCCCCCTGAGGCTGGCAGGGACTCCAGGGCCCGCACCCCTTCCCACCCCGAGGGAGGGCACTCACACGAGGAAGATGAGGCAGGCACAGAGAAAGATGGCAGTGGCAAGACCAGCTCCCAGGGTGGCTGCCTGCACAAATCCCGCACACTCGGGTTTCCCTGCGGGTAAGCGGGGTTTAAGGGGCATCCTTCGAGGCCCAGGACCCTCGAAGCCCTCCCCCTACTTAAAAACAAACCAATAAACAATTCTGCATTAGTGACCCTCCAGGGTAGGGTAGAACTGCCCCGGGGGGGATGCCAAGGCTGGTAACCCTTTCCTGGAGTAGGAAGCCTCAGCTTTCACGCCTGGAGCGGCTGGTGGTTTTGAACTGCTGACCGTGAGGTTAACGGCCCAATGCGCAACCCACTTCACCACCAGGAGTTCTCCTGCTGATCACCCCGCAGCCACCCACCTGGACACATCCCTCTCCCCAGGCCTCAGTCGTGTCCCCGCCCCCGCCCCGTAA